ACTCCAAAGACATGTTGCTGCACCTCTTTTTGCTTCTATCTCACATTATAGGTGAGTTTAAGAACAGGGATTAAAGTTTAGTTGAAGCTGCTGCATTAAGCAGATATACAGACTGCATTTCACTACTTTTCTTCTTTCTTTTTCCAGGACTAACAGCTGGAGACTCAATCACTCCTCAACAACCTGAAGTCACTGAAACAGAAAGAAGAAGAAGAAATACATAAAAACAGCCGCTATAATGTGATATTCATAGACTGCTTTACACAGTAGTTCTTAACAGACTTACTCTCTGTGATCACTAAAAGTTTGCTTTTTTTTTTAATTCATTGGTCCCGCTCCACAACAAGTCACAAAAGCTTATTTTACTGCGAGACAAAGACATTACAATACAGTATCAGAAAGAAAACTGAAAATCTGAGAGGAAGCGCCTGACAAAAGTTTGAAGTAAGAACTCCTTATTATCAGGAAGAGCCCTCCAAGACAATCAGGCTAAGACAGGGGCAGTCATCTGCCTCTGCAGGTCGGGTGGGAAGCATAGGAAGAGAAAAGACAAGCTGTGTCACTGAGACAACAAAATTTAATGACAGGCACCAGTGGCTACTATTTGGTTGTGCTTTGCTCTGTAGTCCAGTCATCCAACCTCCATGATGCACAATCTGGGGAAAAAACGGTGTGAGAGACAGTAGCAGGAGTTTCTCAGCTCAAATTGAAGAAATGTTTAGATGTTAAGTAGAATCAGAGCCAGTGTAACACTGATGATGATAAAAACTTTCTGACATGTGACATTTGTGGAAAAGTCTTTAAGAAAAAATCCATCATGAAGAATCCACACAGATGAGAAACCATATCATTGTGAAACTTGTGGGAAACATTTTGGTAAAAATAGTAATTTCTTGACCCATATGAAAACTCACACAGGTGAAAAACCATATTCATTTAAAACATGTGGGAAATGTTTTACTATAAGGAGTTGGCCCACATCAGAATCCACGCAGGTGAGGAACACTGTAAAACTGTAAAACCTGCAGGAAAAGATTATCTGCCTCATCAGCACTTAAAAGGTATAATGCAGTGCATACAGGGGAGAAACCATATTCCTGTAAAACACGTGGCAAAAGTTTGACAGAAAGTCGTAGTTTGATATGAGAAGCCATGCTGGTGATAAACCGTACCACTGTAAAACCTGCGGGAAAATGTTCACACACAGAAATCATTTAGTGGTCCACATGAAGATTCCCACAGGTCAGAGGTCATAGAGCTGAAATGTTGGTTGGGAAAATAATGTGTGTAAAGCCAAGCTTAAAAAATAATGAAGATTTAAAGTAGAGCTTCAGTGGGTTTCTTGAATATCACACTGTGCGGGATCAGCCTGATTATATCTGTTTTTCAGCAGTGATTCAAATTCTCTAATGGGACTTCTTCTGTTTGCCTTGCAGAAGTGTGTTTCAGCTCCTTAAGGAAACAAATTAACCAAAGAACTTTTTTTCTCTCTGACCGCCATTATTTTGTTCTGTGTCTTTAACTAATTGTTATGGAAAAATTGTGTATTCTTTAGGTCATATTCTGACTTTTGACTCAGTCTGCACCAGTTATTTGTGGCTTGAGAATTGTAATGTTGAAGTGTTGCAGTGTTGGTTCAGTCCATGTTTCTTTGTATTTAATACTTGTTACCTGTTACAGTGGTGAGAGACAACAAAGCTCTCTAAGTATAAATGACATTTATAGTGACATCATGTCCTTCTCTTAAGCTTAAAGTGGAAAAGAAATAGAAGCAAACCAACAAAGATTTTATTCTCACAAAAACAATACAACAGTGGTCAAAGGTGAGAAATCGTACTGTTACGAGACACTGGAGGAAGATTTACTTGAACATTGTAGCGCACACAAAGCAGACGTGTTCTCTTGAAGCATGTGGGAAAGCTGTCAAATGCTGTTGGCTCTCACTGCCATACCGTAGCACTTCCTGTTTCCATATCTGTTCTGTCTACCCTCTGACGTTTTTTGCTTGAATACTTACAGCCTTTTAGCTCCAGAGCTCTACCTGTTTCATATTCAAAACTATGCATGCGATCTAAGCACATATTCCTGCTTAGTCACCTGAAAATTGTGACTGTGTGGCAGCAATCTTCATCTCAGGCTACTCAATCAACCAAAGATCCAGACAGTTTTCATTCATTCG